AACCGACTAGAAATTTCGGTATACTCTGTGACAAGAGTCCCTAACCAGATACGGAGTATCCGAGCGAACACTAGTCCGCTGCCGCGCCACTAGGTGGCCAAGGCAACTCGCATGAAAAAACGTAGGACCGGCTAAATAATTAATCCGTCGATTTTGCATAACTTGAACTACGTGATATCTGTCCCAATGGGGACAGAGATTAAGGAGTATCCAAACGGCGTTCTTGGATTAATCCGTTGGAAGATTGGAAGCCGTGCCATAGCTTGATACGTATTCCTGGCTTTTTGCAACTGGATATCGACGTCTTTGGGCCTCTCGCAAGGTGGTCGATATGAAATCCAAGATACTTAACCTCTTTTTTGTCGGGATATCAATCCTTTCATTCGTTCCTGGAACGGTAGTTGCGATTGAAAAAGAATTTTGATACCCTCTGCCTTCTGGGTGGACAGATTGCTCCTGGGATTCCTGAAGAGGATTGTTTCACATTTCTCTGGATTCATTCGCAGATTCCACATTGCATAGAATTTATTTATCCTATTCACGAGGTCCTCCAATTGGTCTTTTATTCTCGGCATCCGTGTGTGCCAGCAACGTAGACTATCGGATCGTCAGCGAAGGCTGTCGAGTAGGTGTTGTTTCCAGTGTTCAGCTCAAATGAGTTCAGGATGGCAGCGGTGAATATTATAAAGAGTAGCGGTGAGTTGACCGTGCCCTGTTGGAGTCCCTCCCTCTTGTATCTCGTAAGTATGTGCTTCGGTGTGTGTGTAAAGAAATGTAGGCCGTTATCAGTAAGCGTTAGCTTTAGCTTCTGATACGTGCTTACGTTTCTTGTTGTTACCTTCACGAATGTAGATTCTCCTGGAGCGCTCAGCCTGTAATCATTCTGTTCATTGAGATTGTTATCGAACAGGTTGATGAGATCCTTGATTTGTGCGCTACTTTTGTGGACAAAAATGCTTAAGGTTATGTTCTTTTTTGTTTCTCTGGGTTCCTCAGAGCCAACGTTACCTGGTTGAGTCGCTCCTGAACCGCTGTCTTGTAGCATTTCAAAGCTGTTGTTGGTTGGCGTTTCTTTCGGTTCTGGCGAAGCTGCTGTTCTACCTCGCTTACGTGCAATCTGCCATCCCTCGTTGTCCTGAGTGGCTTCGTCATTGGATAAAATCATAGGAGGATTATTCTCCTGTTGTCTATTATCGTTGGTCGCCCTCGAATTTGCTAGGTTAGGTCGCACATTGTGCTTCGCCTGTCTGCCTTCGTCTTTCAAAAGTTTTTTGTATTCCCTGTCAATCAGGTCCGTCAGATTTACCTTTCCAATTTTTATTGCCCTGCTCCTTTCGTCCCCTGGGGTGGTTTCACCTTTCCTTTTATTTGGTCGTTGTAATTGACCCGCTCCACGTGGCGAGACCATGAATTTTTAGGTTAGCCCAGTGGGCCCAGAACTATTTCTCGTATTTCTTCAATCGCGCACAATTAAATGGAACCAAATGGCTCAAAATGATGGGGTAGGCGAGCCTGACCCGAAAAACTCGTTTTTATAATTATTTTTGCCGAAAAAAACAAAAATTTTTAACTTGACCCCGACGTGATTTGAACACGCAACCTTCTGATCTGGAGTCAGACGCGCTACCGTTGCGCCACGGAGTCTCACGGAGTAATCAGAAGATTCACTGAAAATTGATCAATCATTTGTTGTTTTCATTATCTATTTACAGTTTGAATTAACGAAAATTATTCGAAACGTTCAATAACGTTGCCGCTTTCAGACGATGTGAATGGTATCGCATCGTGTAAACGGAAAATACTCGCTGGCATTTTTTGACCTTATCTACGGGCATTCTAGCGCCAAAGGTTAACTAAAAGCTATTCAGGGATTGTCCTTAATCAGCTGATCCTGAAAGTCTTGCGTTTAATCTTGTAATGAGTCGAACCGATTATAAGATTGTGCCAACAGATTTTAAGATACGAACTCTGGTAATAAAAGGAGCTTTTAGAGAAACAATACGTTAGTGAAAAGGGGTTCCCGACAAGCAAAAACAAGAAATTGGAGACGTGGTCATTATCAAACATGTAACTTGGTACGTGTTCAGCGTAATTGCGAAGGAACGGTCGGAGGATAAGATACAATTAGTTAACGTAACAACAGGAATTACAAAATGAAAGTAAGCTATGGACTATTTTGGAGTAAAAACTGCTGGATTGGCAAGATCTGCAGACGGACTAGATAAACTACCTAGGGGTAATATTAAATTGCATTTAGAAAAGACCTTCCCAGACGGATATCATATTACCCTATGTTTAGGCCAAATTTAAGTTCCTGAAGTCGTCGAACAACGAAAGAAAATTATACAGAAAATGCATTAATCTGTAGGTGGAGGACACAAAGGACGTGAGGAAAACATATTAAAGAATAAGAAGGCAATACTTTTGGAAGAATATAAAATCAGAGATCCATAATTTCGTTAAACATTGTCTTACTTATCAGAATAATAAGCTTGCGAGGGTTAAAATCAGGCAGCCAGTGATAGTTACTGATGCTTCTCAAGTGACTTTTAAGAAAATAGCTCTCGATATACTGAGATCTCCACCAATCACAAGTTCAGCAGGTACCAGTTACGTCCTCGCCGTCCAAGGCAGTCTAAGAGAATATTCTGTAACTACCTAGATATCCTTTGCTGAAGCTTAGGTTTAAATCGTTGGTGAAGCTTTTGTTGAAATCTTCGTTTGCTTACAAGCGAAGCTTACAGGCGAAGCGACGAACCATCTAATCAAATTATTTAAAATCAAACAATTAAAAACGACTGCTTTCCACCCGTGATCTAATGATTTTTAGAGTATTTTAGACTTGCTTCTAGTTGAATACCTAAGACATTATATTAATTTGGCGAATGACACACGGCTAAAATATCCAATGATTTCCCATAATACATCAGTGCACGAGTCTACTGGGCTTAGAGCCCTCGTGAGTTGGTTTTTGTGAAAACAGGAAGGATTCCTTTGAGCGTCATTAAAGAAAGTGCTGAATGAACCTATGTAGATTGTTTAGGGGAGATCGAAGTGAAAAACTCAGGGAGACACAAGTTGAATGCTGCAGAAAGATTAGACAAATCTAAATTCAAATCAAAGGAGTATTACGATAGGAGCGTAAATATACAAGACTTTGCAAGAGGGGACTGACTGGGTATTTCTATTGAATGACACTAAGGTGAAGAAACTTGATCCTAATTATATAGGGCTATTCCAAATCAACAAGATTCTGGGACATCAGAATGCAGCGATCAAGCTGTCTGTGCACCGTACGAAGGTGATACTTAAAAACCGAGTGAAAGCAGCTCAATCGTGAGGTTAGAGAATAAGCTACCTGAGTAGCGATAACAAGATATTGAAATAAATATCAAATCCTAAGTAGTTAGAGCACTTGGATAGTAAAATTAGGATATAGAAATGTTTTTGAATTTCTATTGCTTGATGACATACTGTGGGTGTCTTCCGAAATCTATGTACTGACAGTACTGCCAGTGCTGTAACCAGCGCTGTGTCCTTATTCATTTATACGCGTCTAAGAGAGATGTAAGAACTTTTACAGTACTGTCCGTAAATGTCGAAACACGCCCTGTATAAACTCTACGGCAAGAATCACCTTGCCAGTTTCATGCAGTCGAATCTGCCGCGAAAATGGATAATGGCGACGATCAGGACGTAAGAATGATAGATATGGAAATACCGGGTTGGAGCCACTGAACTCTAACCATACTGGAATCCTCCGTACGCCTGTGTATTCGTCCTGTAACCCGGCCAGCGCGGAGCTGCCTCAGTCACACGTGGATATGAGGTTGTCCCTTTCGAACTGGACTGCGCATGCGCTGTACAAGTCCTGCAAAATTGCTGTAACGCCGGATATTAGTGCCAGACGCGCCAGCACAAAGCCAGCACACAAAGTATAAATTTATGAAAAATGTCCAGGCACTGCTGTGTCAATTCGTATACATACATTGATGCGAAGCCTTACCGCAGGTTTATCTTTTTTTAATGAAGTATTTCCGAAAATTGCAAATAGTTTCGATTATTGTTTGCTAAAAACATGGCTTTATTACCAAAGTCATCCAGCTTAAACTTTTTTAGAGACTGTACAGTGTGTAATGCAGAGAGGCTGCTAAACTCGTCTCTGTCCTTGCTATCTCTCTCTCTCTCTCTCTCTCTCTCTCTCTACTCGTCCCAGTATACTTATAGTTCAGTGGTTTTAGGCGTTTTAGGCGTTTTAGGCCATACCAAAGGCATGGCGCTGAATCGCAGCTGCGAGTCCCGAAGTAGAGTTTTGTGATCATCGCCTCCGTCAATAATGCGGATTCCGTCGTAGCCGAGCTGACCGCGATTACGAACGTGTAGCTTGGCGGGCAGAGGTCCTCCGCTACTTATTGCTAGTTCCCAAACCAACACGAGGCAGCTCAGCTGATATAGCCTAAATACTTTTTCCTTCGCAATCCTGAATTTGAGCGCGCAGTGTAAGCTCGGCAAGTTTAATATGACAAAAGCCAGTAATAACCCATGCCTCCCTGCACTCAAGCGTATGATGCCACCAGTATATTTAATATTTTTTCCCGATGTTGCATAGCAGAAATATTGTTAAAACTAACCAGGAGCTATAGAACTCCTCGAGAACTATTGAAAAAGACTATCGTCGAAACATTCTTAAAAAATTGCGGTGCCAGCTTCATACCCGTGGCCGCGTAGCACCTCAATTTTTGGAAAATGATTCATCAGTAGGCTTTTTCAGTAGTTCTCGAGGAGTTCTACAGTTTCCGATAGGTTTTAACATTAGTTCTTGAGTTACCTTAAATTTTAAAAGAAACTGTCAAGGTACAAACGATGGAACACAGTGGAGATGTACCATAGACTATACTCTTTCGAACGGGACTAATAGGAAAGCGATAATAGTAACATAAGTAAAAACTGTACGAAACTGAAAGAAAATGTCTCGTGGAAATGATCTCAAACGACCCCAAATTGTCCGAAACGCAAAGGAAACACGAACCCTGGAAACAAATTTCCATAACCTAACACATCCCACAACCTATAATCAAGAACAGGGATTCCCTGAATGTGGCCCTATCGCAATTCGACCTGTGCCAGCCTCTTCTATGGACCAGTCTGAGTTTCTGCATTAACACTAGATTGCCCAAGGAAGTCATTTTGACTGCTTTTTAATTTCAATTAGAACAACAATTATGTATATGGTATAATGACACAATTTCTTAGAATTTTGTGACTTTTTGTACAACATATAAATGCGTTTATTAATAATTGTAGTTACCTTCCCCCTCCTTCCTAACCGGTAGATATATATATACACAGGTTGTTCGTTATGAAAGGCACTGTAGTAACACTGTTGCATTCCTTGTCAAATTCTAAGGAATACGTGTATTTTCATTTTTTATTTCATATATAAAAATTTCGAGATAATCAAGGTTGAAGTTGCTGTAATGCGACCAATCAGAACGCGTTTAAACGGAGCGTAGATGACGTCGCGAGTCAGCCCGTAAGGTCTGCTTAACACTAGACCAATAACACAATAGGTCCCTGTTTATCTGCATTAATTGAGTGAGATACAATCGCTCGCTGTAACGTTACTGAATTAACGGAAAGTACCCTGTATTCCTTATAATGTCTATTCCTTTAATTTGACAAGATAGTTCTACCAACGTATTACATTTTCAGTTGTCCTGAAAAGGACCGATTTTGATATACGCATGACCGGGCTTGGATCTCGAAATGCTAATCTGCAACAATTAGATACATTTTCTATGATAATGGTTATTCTGAAACACTAAATATTGTAGAGTACGTAACATTTTTATCAGGATTTCGCCTATTAGGATACCTAATTACATATTCTTGCGCTGCTTGTGTTTGGCTGCCATTACATTGGGCTAACACGCAATACATGTCGCAATAATATCTCACACAATAATTACTCATAATGCGATCTTGCAGTCGAAACAACATAAATCGAACTGACTGTCTCCGAAATGTGAAGCGAAATAGGTTGTAAGTTGTAAACAAGTTATTCAACCGCACTAGACTTACTACTGTTATCATAGAAAATGTATGTAACTGTTGCAGATTAGCATGTCGATATTCAAGCTGGGTCATGCGTATATTAAAATCGGTCCTTTTCAGGACCACTCGAAATGTTATACGTTGGTACAACTATCTTGTCAGATTAAAGCAATAGACATTATAAGAAATAAAGGGTACCTTCTGAAATTCACTGACGTTACAGCAAGCGATTGTATCTTACTCAATAGACATTATAAGAAATGTTATACGTTGGTACAACTATCTTGTCAGATTAAAGCAATAGACATTATAAGAAATAAAGGGTACCTTCTGAAATTCACTGACGTTACAGCAAGCGATTGTATCTTACTCAATTACATGCAGATAAACAGAGACACTACGATGATACTCTTAGCGTTATTGGCCCAGTGCAAGCAGGCCTTGCGGGCTGGCTCGCGACGTCATCTACGCTCCGTTTAAACGCGCTCTGATTGGTCGCATTACTGCAACTTCAACCTTGATTATCTCGAAATTTTTAAATATGAAATAAAAAATGAAAATACACGTATTCAT